TTAAATACCAAGAATTCAATTTTCTATAATTATCATTCGATTAAAAGAATTTTCAAATGTAAATAATTTATTTTCTTCATCGTTAAATATTCAAATTTCAAGAGCTCAATAAATAGCTATACTTGAAATTTTGTGCAATTGTTAAAAAGAATAACATATATTTAATTTCGTAAAAAGCATACAAATCATTTCACTTCTTGGTAATTCTATTCTTTCCGATTCTCTTGATGAATATTTTTCTTTGTTTTAAATCCTCATTGATATTTTCTTTTGCAACAAATAACAAATTCCATTACAAAAAACAAATAATCATTTTCTATCATGTCTACACTCTCATTATTAAATCTAACATCAAAATTGATTCTTTTTTTGTCATCTACCTTTCCGTAATATTTACTTTTGTTAAGATATAAGAGACATTCTTCAAGTGTACACGACAAGCAGAAGAAATAAATCATAAAACAATGACTCTTGTTAACTCTCGATATACTGTAAAAATTTCCTTTTTTTATTTATTTTCGTTGATGAATGATTACATGGGAGAAGAAAGAGAAAAAAGAGAAGCAGAAAAATTTTAAGTGTGAAAAGAAAAGATTTTAATTTTGTTGTAATTTTTTTTTTGTATCAAATAATGTCGTATATAGAAATGTGAGTAAAATAGATTAAGTTAAACTTTGCCAAAAGTACTTAATTAATATTTAAGTTTTAAACTTCAAATTGATGTCGCTATTGAAAGGAAACAATAAATTTCTTTTTTTTTCTTCTTTTATTATGAAGCAAAAAGAAAAAGGCTTTTGTTTCTGGCTTTTGTCAATATATGCATGAATATGCATCTCTAACAAGAAGCCATAAAAGAACTCGAAGTCATGTTTTGTAATCATATGACAAATCAATTGTTAAATCGTATAATACCGCATGTTGAAAGTATAGAAGAAGAAATTTTTCATGAATCCTAATGTACTTGATAAGAACTCTTCTATTAGTCTTAATAGTATAGAGTATAATTTAACTGATAAATGATCATATGAAGTTAATTACATCAGAGATGTAATCTGTACAATGAAAGATTTCGCATCAAACATTGCTAGTAGACTCGCTGCTTTAGTTCAATCCATTCCTGTCTTTACGTCCGAGTATATAATAGAAAAAAAAGCATTTCATAATCAAATAATGTCGAGCAGTACAAATATTTTGTCGTTAGATTATAAATTGATACTCATAGTTTCATTAACATATATTTATTCATACTTCAGTGTCATTTTTGTTCTTAGTTACTTTTTAAATATACAAAGAGATTTGATCTTTACTGTATCAATTTAACCTTGACGAAAAAAAGAAAAATATCTTTTGAAATTTGTATGCATAATTTTAGATACAGGCATATGCTTGTTAAAAAAAAAAAAGAGGAAGAAAACGATGATTATTATTATGAAATAGTAAGTGTGCAACACTCAATCCGTCGTCTGCATATCGATCAAGATTTCTTTTTTGTTTCTCGTCATTCAAGAAAGAAAGAAAACATCAATACACACTCGCACAATATATAAAGTCTTCAAGCCTTGTTATTATTTCATTGTGAATATAAGAGCTGTATTTTCCCATCGTTAGAAATATAAAAAAGAAACTAATATAAAATCTAATCCTTTTCATATTTAAAAAGAAAAAGAATGTTCATAACGATGTTGTCAAACTAACTTGCATGACGTTTTTTTCTTTATTAACATGGTTTTAGTGCTTCTTATACTTTATTTATATAATCAACAAATGGAGAAATTCTTCTATTTCTACTTGTAATAAACTATTCATTTCTTTTTTAGATTTTTTCTTTACTCATAAAAGTAATGTCATTTAAATGCGAACGATTTCTTATTGATGCTATTGAACAATATAATTTACATAAAATAATAACATGTGTTAAACATGGTCATAATGTTAATATAAA